TACCACGTGCAAGCCAACATGCATCAGACTGTTCTGGGGGACATCATGCGGCCCACAAGCTGCTAAGCAACCTCCACGAGCCATTTAAATCCCTGAGGTGGTGCCCCTGGAACCGTGACACCCAGGCAGTTGTCCCGATTGCATCTGCAGCTGGGATGGACATGTGTTCAGCTGCATCATTCCCTCAGTAGCCTTAGCTAGCTGTTTGCTCTGGGTTCTAGCTTCTTTCATGGAGCCAATACGGAATTACCCCATAACTTCATGGAAAACAACCAGGGTAAGAATTGGTGAGGGTGTTCAAGGATAGGCTAGACATGCACATGGTAGGCATGCTGTGACCAGAGCTGGATAGAGCCGGGGGTCAGACTAGATGGCCCGGGAGGTCCCTTCTGACTCACTCTGTTTCTATGTTTCTAAAATATAACAAAAGAAATGGCAATGACACCCATGGGCAACAAGCAGTACTTGGGCCTCATCCTACCCTCCGCCCCCACTCGACCACCACACTCTTCTTGGAACAAAAAGTGCTTTAAAACAAGGCCTACACCTCGTTTGTGTGTTAACTGGAACACATTATTAATCAGAAATGTGGCAGCAGCAACAAAAAAGCTGCAATGCCAAAGTTCTGCAGCAATTCCATCCCGGTGGCAGGGAAGGAGTTGAAATTGACCTTCCAGCCCCTCCAGAGCTGCCCACTTCTTAAGTGAAGGATTATAGTCCAAGTGTGTTTAAGACTTCGCCCTTATCCGCAGCACTTCATAAACTACTGTCAATAATCCCCGCAACAGATCTGAGGTAGCTAGTGAGTATTGCCACTCTCTTGCAACCAAGATCAGCTAACACACGCAAGACTTGCCCGTGTGCTAGAAAGAGAGTGCAAACACAAGAATGCAGCCTACCTAGGTAATACATTCAGTAGATATTGTCAGTTTGATGCAGGGTGAAGGAAGTAGGTACTGCTAGCACATTTCAGTACACGCTTCATGGCCAGTCCAGTTTGTAAGGTCAGGGGGGAGCGCAGAGTTCCAGCTGCTCTCTTGGCCCCATAGTACTTCCACATCCATGGTCCTCTGTGCTACCACCCAACCACAACGCTGCCCCCAAGCATAGCGATCTTCCCTCATTTTTCCCAAGGGATGAAGCGTATCCGACCACTTACATTGGGGTGAGTGAGCACAGGAACATGTAGACCTTGTTGAGGTCAAGCTGCATTAATCACCTCCCAATGTGCCAAGCAAGAAATAGTTTTTGGCCCTCAAATGAATTGCTGTTATTGTCTCTCTGCATCTGTTTTTTCCCTTGTTTAACCATGCATGGTTGCACTACGCTACAATCTTCTCCACTTACCTAGGAGTTAATTCCACTGAATTTAATGGGCCTTATTTCAGTACATGTCTATGGGCATGCCCCATTTTTCTGTTGGGTTGCAGGTTTTATGGTTTTATTTATTCTTTATGCTTCCCAAAACTACAAGGTGTTTTTTAAAAATACATGTTTCAGCCCTTATGATTTTTTAACTCTTCCCATTTTTAGTTTTCATAATTTATAGAATATTTTATATTGTACTGGTAATGTGTGTTGGACTTTATCTGATTGTGGACTGTAATGTATTTTAAACTGCACAACACCTAGACAGATTTTTAATTAAAGTAAATAGCAGCCTATTAAATTTTAATTAAACTGGGAGATAAAAAACTTAACAATGGTCAACATCGGCTACCTGCCTACAGATATGGACAGATGGAATATATGCAGTGCAAACATATAACTACTTAGAATTAGGTCCCACTGAATTCAGTGAGGATTACTCCCAGGTTTGTGTTTAAAGAAATTATTTAAGAAGCACCCAGCAAAGTGACATACACAATAAGATCCCATGCAGTAAAGCCCCAAATCCCTGATAAAACAGCAAAAGCCTATACAATCAGTGAACATCAGCAAAATATTATTTACAGAATCAGGAAAAGGCCAGAAAAACCAGTCTTTGGAGGCTTTCTAAAAGCTTGCAGGGTAACAGCAACCTACCCCAGAAGAAGGGAGGTCTGTGGAAAGGGCTGTCTCCTGTGTACTTGTTCACTTCACTGCCTTCAAAGGTGGGCAAGTGCGAATGGCCTCTGATGGTGGTTCTTCAAGTAGCTTAGGCCTAAAACTTTTGAGGCTTTAAAAGGATGAAACCGGCATTTTACACTTGGAGTACAGCTGGTGCAAAATGGATGTTATGTGATCTAACTGCATTGCCCCACACAATCACCAGGCAGCCACATTCTTTACCATTTGAAATTTCTGGATTGTCTTCAAAGGCGACACCACATAAAACACATTAGAGTAGTCCAGTCTGGATGACTCGAGTGCATGAATAATACAAGCAAGTTCCATCCTCTCTCGATGGGGATGCAGCAGGTATAGCAATCAAATCTGCTAAAACACACTTCTGTACCCTGCAAACACCTGAGCAAAGTCCAGGAGAACTCCCAGACTAAGCACTCAATCATTCAGGCAAACTATTCATCCCAAACAATTGGTTTTCCAATCCACGAAAGTCCACCTCATCTGGATTAAATTGTAACTTGTTTGCCCTCCCAAAACAGCTTCTAGACATTGATGCAAGAGTGTCACATTCCATTCAGGATGAGGAAATGGAAACTAGAGGAAGAACTGAGTTTCATCTGCATACAGATGACATTTCAGTCCAAATCCATTCATGGTCTCCAATGGATTCATGGGGGACAGGGTGGAGCCTTGCAGCACTCCAGCTAAGAAGAGGCCTAGAGTGGAGCAGTCTCTAAGCCACCTACAGAGCCTGTTCATCCAGGACCATAACACCATGCCTCTATGCTTGACCCAGATAAAGGATTCAGAGGGTTGATGGTAAGGACAAGCACTGGGTGACTTTAATTGTCATGCTGATACTGGCTCTGGAACTCCAGCTTGGCACTTCATGGCCTCCATGACAACAAACTGAGATGTATACTAATGTATAAAGTTCTAAACAACTTTGGAACAGGTTCCCAGAGTGCTTTCTCCCTTATGAACCTGTTAGGGCACTGAGGTCAACAGACCACACACTCTTGGTGGTCCTTCATGAACTAGTGGCCCAACTAGAGTTCACCCAGGGAAGAGTCTTCAATGTAGTAGTCCCTGTTTATGGAAAACCATGCCTCTGGAGGTCAGACAGGTACCAACACTGTACTGATCTTAGCATTTCCTGAAAGTATCTTTAGTTCAAGAAGTCCTTCTTGATTGGCCAGCCAGGTTTTTTTAAAATATGGTTCTTCTATTCTTTTAATCTTTTATTGTTCTCTACTCCACAATTTGTTTAGATTTGTATCTATATATAATGTTGTAAACAAGAAGCAAACTCACTCCTTGCAATGCCAGGCAGATAATCTGCATACAAGGGCATCAGGAATCAACCAGCCTGATAACCCAAATCATGCCTTCATTCCAAGCAAAGGTCAGAGTCTCAGCAAGACCAACAACTAAACCTACAGGAAAATCCAGATTCATCAGCCTCTAAGGACATACCACAGAACTTGGTCCTCCATCTTTCCAGATATTACATTTCGACTTTCAGTTTACCTGTAAATACTGATTTGAAGTATTTCAATACTGATTTGAAGCCAACAGAGTCACAATGGGTTCCCTCACCCATAGACTATTTCCTCACAATCTAGTACAGAAAACCATACTTAAAGAGGGCCAGTTATAATTTAAGACAGGCTGATGGTTGACATAGCAGCCACATAATTCTGAGCTACTCCTGACAAGATAGCTTCAACATGAATATTAGAGTGTGCAAAGCCCACAAACTTTGAGGTCTTTAACAAAACACTTGAGACCACCTCAGTCAGCTCAGGCATGAAGTCTGTTAGGCAGTCGGGTGGGCACCAAACCAAAATAGCCCCAATCCTATCCTGAATGCCCAACCTCAGGTGGAGACACTGAAAACTGCCTAACAGTTGGATGGGGTTTCTGACAAGACAGACAGAACCCCTATATACCATAATTACGCCACCTGCCAGTAGAACCTGTCCCACAAAAACCTTGTGGGACACCTTTAAGAGAAATTAATCCTTCCCCTTTGATTCAGACAGGGTTTGGTTACAGAAACCAACTCAGCAGGTGGCCAACCTCACAGTCTTCTCTTGGCTAGAGGGGACTGCAAGCAAGCCAACCTGCACCTTAATCTCAGTTTTTAAAGGGCACAACCCACTTTAAAAGTTGTATAACTGTCCTGGGGATGATGGGAGGTAGACTGATGACATCAGAGATGCAGGTATAACAATGTCATGCACATCCAGTTTCTGCTACAAATATATGGCATGTCTCCATCACTTCCCCAGTTTTACTCTGGAAAGGCAATGATTTCTTCAAACAGACTGCAGAAACAATGTCCACGCCTCAAGCTATTTTTCTGAGTCTCTCTTAAAAGAGAAGAGATGCAGCTGAGCCATGACACAACAATTTTAGAAAACTATCAGCTCAGTTATTTACAACTTCAATGCTATAACCCTACAATAATCCTGCAAAATGCAAGCTTATCTGCATTATTTAATGACTTGTGCAATTACTTAATTAAAAATCGGAAGATATTAAATTTCCCAGGCAAGAGAGGCAGGTCTCCTGCACTTCCTAAGCCAAAAACAGTCTCACTTACCTGGTGCTTGCTAGGCATGTTGTGACTAGTTCCCAGTCAGCATGGAATGGAAGCACTGGAAGTCAGAGCATTAGCAAAGATCTACACATTTGCCAAATTTATGTTGTCAGGGGCCTTAAAAGAAATGCTCCTCAATGTAAATAAACAAACCAACCCCAAGCCTGCCCACACATCATGCAGAAACAGGGACATTTTTATGTAGAGAAGATTTTAAAAAGTAGTAATCCTCCTGTAAGTTGAGATAGCTCAAATTAGGAAATGCCTCGTCTGTAGGCAGCTACAGCTCAGAGTTTTTCTGGGCAAGGAGAAATATTGACAAAGGTTATTGCAGGGCATCCCTTACCAGTTTCGCTTGAAATGGGAATCCCCAGCACCAGGCACTTGATTGCAGCTGCCCATTTCTCTGCCACTTGGAGGTTGTCCTTGTAACATTCTGCACTATCAACCTGAAAGGTCTTTGCAGTCCGCTGCCGGGCTCGCCCTGAGCCCACTGCCACCTTCCTCTTCTTTAAGGGGTAAGCGTAGACACAGAAGAAAGCTGACTGGTTTGTAGTTGTTGGACTGCGCAATGTGCAGCACCCCACCACATCAATTAGCCGCACCACAGTCCGGTGATCTGTGTCTGGTTTGGGTACCAGGCGTTGGATATGCAGTTCTGTCCGTGTGAGGCTGAGGGCATAGCGTGTGCCCTTGGAGGGATAGACTCCAAATTCTCCATGGAGGAGGGTTTCACCACATGCCCCCAAAAGTACACTCATCTCACCACGGAGCCCCAGTTTTGCGGTTTGGTTTACACCTTCCAGAAAGCCTGTCAGACACCTGGTTTCAACACACTGACCTAAACCTTTCACCTCAGTCTCTTCCTCCTTATGCTGAACCTGAACAGCTGAACCTAAAATCTGTTCATTCTCACAAATTCTTTAATCTACAAAATGACTGGCATAGTGATTAGGCAAGAAATTTCCTCCACACTTTCAGCTCAGCCATTTCCTTGAGTCTTCTCTTTTTACTTTGAACATGGTCCTCTATGTCAGTAAAATTTAACAGCTTTCAAGGGGGAAAACACCCCCTTTTCCACCCTGCCTCTGTATTTTTTCACAAGAGAATTCTAGGCAGGGCCATATCAAAATTCCCCAGGAATGAACACAGCCTAGTCTAAACAACTTGAATTGCAAAACAAGAAATGAAGCCCTGGTAGCAAGCAAAGGTTAATAAGGAAGGAAAAAAGAGATACAATCTAAAGTAGGTTTGAAAAATCCTGCATTACTTTCAAACAGGTGCTTCTCCAGATGCAGAGCCCAATATAATTGTTTTTAGCAAAGTACTTTCAACTTCAGGCAAAGAGTTTAAACACTGACTTGGGTCTATAAGCCACCCATTAAACCATCTGACTCATAAAAAAATGATGCCCTATTCACGCTGAAGGCTGAGAATCAGGAACGTTTTTAAATAGATTGCTATCCTGAGTTTAAGAATCAAGGGGACAAAAAAAGAACTTCTTTTAAAAATAGGGCAGATGATGAAGTTTCAACTGATCAGGTGATGCTGAATGGGGCAGCAGGGAAAGAGAAAGAAAATGGAACCACTATCTGGAAAACAGTTACATGGGATACAGGTCATATACTATCCACTAAGAGCACTTTATATATATATAATATAATATTAAAGGACTAGCCTAGAATTTAATTCCAGCATACTTCAGCTGCTTAGCCCAGCCCTTGAGGCTTAAAGAGATTTAGCCTTGATCCCAATTTTATATTGGCTTACGCACTAACACCACTATTGCAGTGGGCAGGGAGAAAGAAGGAGGATAAATCTCTTAAGTAATTTCAAGCCACACTTATAGGTGAAATTGGAGGATGAGGGGAAGAAAGACTTTGATCATTGTTCCAAAAATAAAGATTCAGGGGGCTTTGAAAGAAGCCCCTCCAAAGGAAACATCCAACTCACCCCCTCACCAGGAACCTCTGTTTAAAATATGCAAGATCTTACGAAGAAGAGCCGAAACCTGTTTGGAATCTATGGGATGGAGCGTAACAGGCTGGGAAAAAGAGAATTAGCGGCTCCCAGGCACCGCTCTGCACCTGCCAGCCCCCTCTCCCCGCCTAACTGCTAGCGCCACTCAAGAACACCTTTTCCTGCTAACCTCTGCCTTCTTCTGTCGGCTTTGCCTCATTCCCTCCTCCTTTTAACCCTCATCCTTTACCCTCTCCTCCCGCGCTCTCTCTCCCGCTAGCGCCTGCACGCTCTCTCTCGTGCTACGCCAGGAAGTGCTCTATTTTCTAACTGGGGAGGGATGCAAAGGTAGGAGGAGGCGGAGAAAGGTTCCAACCAACCTATCTGAGAGCAGTAAATCGTAGAAACGATCCAATCAGAAAAGGCTTTCCGGGCCTCCCGCCGACGCGAATGTCAAGCATTTAGCCGTGGGAGTTGCCATTTTTGACGAGGGCACAGATGTAAAGACGCAGACCATCTTAATGAAGGGAAGAGGCACTGCTCTCTGGTATACTATAGCAATTGTAGCATACAGAACATAAAAGGAGGCATCGTACTGCACGTACAGGATACCATACCTGCTTGAATAAAGGGATTAAAAAATAAGAATAGACTGCTATCCGCCGTAGTGATCACTGGATGTGATATGTGGGCAAGGTCAAACTAGAAATATGCTTCACACTTCAACCAGGATAAATGGCAGCCATCTTTAATGAGGGAAAAGAACCCTATGCTAGCCGAATACTTTCCGGAGAAAGAGGCTTAGCTACCATTTTATAGTTGGGCAACCTCCCCCCCCCCCACCTCACAATCCACTCAGCAAATTGCTAGGGGGCCATCTTAAGAGAGGTACTTGGGAAAACCTCATTGGGCTTCGCATATTTGCAGCCATTTTGGATGTGGTCAATTCGTGGGAATAGCTGTACTTCACTAAAAACGGCAGCCATCTTTGCTATAGGAAGGCGGCCGTCGTTTGGTTGGGTCTCACCATGGCAACGGTCCTGACGCTGCGCCGGGCAAAAGATCCATCTCGTATATGCTCCCAGGAGGTTCAAATGCACCCCCTCTATAAGTGAGGAACATTTCAGCTTCCCTTTAAGGTATCCCTTCCTGAACAAAGCAATGCCCGAAACAGATATATTCATACATGACTGCTGACAAATTCACCAAGAGTTTCAATTCTATTTCCTGTGGTTTAATTAAGAACCAAGGTTTATATTAGTATTATCACACTACATATCACCATTACAATTATGTCTGTGTCATCACCCAACCTTCTGCACTTCGTATTTCCGTTTCCTCTGACAACACTGCTACAACTCCTTACTGCCCTATTATACACATATGCAGCTACTGATCTGAGGTGAATATTTCATGCATAAGAACGCGAAAGCGTATGGCATTTGGAGGGCTTTCATTCATAGGATCATCATAAGCTGGAGACGACTTGATAGCGGACAACAAGAAAGAGTAAATTCGCTAGGTTTTAAGGTGTCACAAGGCTCTTGGTAGTTTCTGCTGCAACAGAATAACCCTTGAGGAAACTGGAATATTTTGGATATCCCATGAAATCATGAGATTTTTCTCCTCCCCATCTGCTCCAGAGGCTTGTATATTGTTAAAAAAGACCAAGTGGCTGAGGAAATGTGGAGATTATCATACACAGTACTTGTAAGGAATCCTTTACCCCTGACCTGCACTTTGGAGCTAGCAGTAGAGGACTACATTGTAGAGGCTGTTGTGAGCCACTGAAACCTCGCCTCACAGATTCAGTTCAGAAACAATAATAAACTACATTTACAACCGTAGAGCCATTTTCTCAAATAAAAAGAATGATCTCCAACAATAATATTTTCCGCACACCATCAGACCTTAGGTTGAAATAACATGAACTCCTATCTTTGCTTGTAGTTCTCCGGGATGGCGTAACGATACGCTATTGCCGACAACTCCATTCACGTCTGAATTTCTTTACTGTTTCCTGTACCCAGCTGCCCGCTTTAACCCCTCTAACGAAGGTAAAGACGTATCGTTAAAAAATAACCATGAAGTGCCCTATAGGCCAAAGAAATGGCTTTTCTATATTGTGTTGCGTCTATGGTGCATAGTCTATCGTCAAGAATCGCCATAGAGTGTCGAAGCCACGCCCCTTCCCTTTACTCGTCTCTTCCTTCCCATAATTCTTTGCGGGGTTGCGGCCTCTTCCTTTTTCTTTTTTTCCTAGGGGCTGTCGGCACCGCCATGGTGAGTCCCGAGAGCGAAGGGAGCGGGATTTGAATCGGTTGCAATCCTGTCCGGGAAGGCGGCATGGGCAGCATGGGGCGTTGCGCCGCTGTGGAGAGGGGTTGCGAGCTCTTGGTGGTACCAGTATTGGCGGACATACGCCACGCTGGAGAGTCAGGATCATGGAGTGGGGCTGGAAGGCCTTCAGAAGCGGGGTGTTATTGGCAGGATGGAGTTCGGGCCTGGGAACTTCGCAGGGTCGATGCTGCAGTCGCTTAAGATCGTGTGGCGCGGCGGGAAGCCTGCGCTCGTGTGTGTTCTGGCGCTCGACAGGAGACTGTGGGTCTGCGTCTCAGAAATTGAATAGTTCGTTGTATGGTAACACTCAAGCCAAATGAAAAACCATAGTATACTTGTGGCATGCTTCATCAGAAATGTTTGTTTCATTTATTTGCCTAAAACGTAAAGATTCTTTTAAAAACATTTCTGATGCCATAAAACTTATTGTCGTTACACAATATTGATCCCAAATAATTTACTTTTTAGAATATTAAAGTTGCATACACCTTTCCAAAATAGCGTTAATACAATCCCCGAATAAGGCATAGGCGATCTATAGATGCTAACCAGTGAAGCAGCAGGAGAGATGGCCATAATAAGAGACAGGCTCAAGGGGTGACATTTGCTTGGAGCAATAGAAGTTTTCTGCATATAGGAGTGAGTAGAGAAATGAAGCATTGCAAAAACTAGGAGTAGAATAGTTTATATAGAGAATGAAGTTCTGCTTGGATATTTGTAATATTCATCTTTATGAGGAAAAATTAGGGACGGAGAAGAAGTAAATTGTGACGGTTCCTTTAGACTGAATGTGAAGGGAGAGGATGTTAGAAGAATGAGAGGAGCAAGTTGGGAGGCCTAATTCAGAGAGATGAATATGGCATAGTAATTGGCATGTGCTGTTTGGAAGGAGTGACTGGGATGAAGTGCATGAGTAGAACATGATTTGGAGGGGATGCTTTAATCAAGGATCAGGAAAACGGAAACACTCTTGATGAAAAACATGAGGTAGAAAGCTGTTTTGAATACCCACAGGTCGTTTCTATTTTGTTGCACAAATATTCTGTGCTTGATGATGTGCTTGCTTGAATCAGTTTAAATCAGGAAGTGGGCAACACTTGAAGGCTTATAAGATCTATTTTATAGTTTACTATGAGGCGTTTTAAAATCAAGAAATCCATGAAGCAGAGACTGATAGGAAATGATCGAGCAGGTGGACATACACTAAGAATTAAGAAACACTATGTCTCTTGTTACGTGGTTATTCCAGGAATTTGTGCTCAGTTCCAGAACTGAGCTTTCAGGTACCTTGATGCAACAAAGCAGTTCTGCTTTTCACCCAAGTATTTGTTCAGTAGTCTGATTTAAAGCTCCTTTTACTACTTATTTATTATTTTATTTTATTTTTTTGATTTATATCCTGCCTTTTTCCTACAAAGGGCTCAAGGCAGCTTACATTATCTCTCCTCCTCCATCTTATCCCCACAACAACAACCCTGTGAGGTAGGTTGGGCTGAGAGACTGTGACTGGCCCAAAGTCACCCAGTTGGCTCCATGGCCGAGCGGGGACTCGAACCAGATCCTCTGAGTCCCAGTCCCATGCTCTTTCTCGTTGTAAAACAATTGGAAGTCAGAACTCCAACTGCAAAATGCACAGACAGCTATCAGTAAATACCCATGTACTCGTACATTCTCTACCCATAGTTTAATTATAGCTACTGTAACAGATTAATTCCTGTACATTTTTCTTTTGCATATTGCTCACTTGTAGCCTTTCTTCTTTGCCATTCCATGCAATTTTGGGGAGGACATACTTTCCCTCTTGCTTTTTATGGAAACCTTTGACCAAGGAAAGTGAATGTTAATTTGGTAATGACATTATTTTTAGAATACCAGACATGCTATCATCTACACCCTCATTGTGAGGCTTAAAATGAGGCTGAGAGGGAAACTTGCAAAGATTAATGGTGACATTCTGGGCACATTAGCTCAGAAATAAGCCCCACTGCCCTTGTGGCTCAGGCTGCAGTTCCATATCCACTTACTAAGGCAGTGTCTGCAGGTCCTGAAGGACTTCTCATAGCAGGAAAAGAACAGGCATGTGGCCAGTGGAAAGCATTGTGCTGGAGAGCATTTTGAGGTATTGCTCTGAGTCTTTTGTTTATTTATTTAAAACATTTCTATGCCGCCCCATTTGCAAAAAGCCTCGGGGCAGCTTACAAAACAGATACCATTCTCACAATTAACCTTAAAAATTTTGGGGACATTTCGGCACAATATAAAACCCAATATAAAACCCAATAAATAATTAACAATTAAAATAACTTTTAAATAAAAAGGTCTTGGCCTGGCGCCGAAAAGCAAATAATGACGGTGCCAGGTGGACCTCTCTGGGGAGTGCATTCCATAGGTGGGGTGCCACCACAGAGAAGGCCCTCCTCTGGGTACTCACCCTCCTAATATCTTTCACGGAGGGTTCCCGGAGAAGGGCCTCCTCCGCCGATCTCGGGATGGAAGGGCATATATGGACGCAATATATATGCTTGTGTGCATTGATAAACCTGCTTTTGTGAGGAGACAGCTCTTCCTGATTTAGATATAGAACTTGTTGAGATTTTACATATAGACCCTTGCTGGCATGAAAATGTTTGTGCTGGGGCAGTGTGTGCATTGCCACATCTAAGGATGCAAACCCTTCCTACATTTCTCAAGGAATTACATTGATTGTGGCAGATGTAATTCATGACTGTGTATGAACCAACTTGAGTGCTTTTTTCTCGGAACTAGGGAGTCGACATTCGTCACAACAAGGACCGGAAGGTTCGTCGTAAGGAGCCTAAGAGTCAGGATATTTATCTTCGCCTCCTGGTCAAGGTGAGAACCTGGATAATCAAAGATCTGCAGGTTCCGTAACTGAGAAGTAGAATTCCTTGTGGGCATCTTCTCAGCCCATACTCATTAGTGTGGAGGCACAGTGGGATATTTAACACTTCTTGACAGGACTTGAGATGAACAGAAGTAAAGGGAAGGTTCCACCTCCAGATAAAAAATGTACAGGCTCAAGTATAGAATGAAGAAGACCTGCTTGACAGCAGTAGATGTGAAACAGGTCTAGATGTCCTGGTTGGTCACAAGCTGAACATGAGCCTCCAAAGTGAGATGATTGCTAAAAAAGCACATGCATTCTTCAGTGGCAGGAGGAAATTCCTCATGTTAAGAGCTTTTTGACAGTGCAAAAGAGTGCACTGATAAATTGTGGGCTGTCTTGCACTGGAGATATTAGTTGATAAAGGTCCCCCTGCCCAGCTTTAAAATTCTGTCATTCAAATGAATTAGGACTCCCTCGGAGGTTATACCTGGAGGCTTGTTTTGAGGCTGGAAGCCTGCCTTTGGGCTTAATTGGGGATGTGGGGACATCTCAGTGGGCTTACTTGGGGGGAGGGAGCTGGCCAGCAGGAGTCCTACGTATCTTCTCAATCTGTTTGCTGCGTTTACAGCTCTACAGATTTCTTGCTCGACGGACCAATGCAAAATTCAACAAGGTGATCCTCAAACGGCTCTTCATGAGCCGCACCAACCGCCCTCCACTGTCCATATCTCGCATGGTAAGTAGAGGTTCTCTTCCCCCAGTCCATTAATTGACGTTTCCCAGCGTGCTCATGCATATCAATTTTTATGCTCAGTCTCTGTTATCCTACTTCCCCAGCTTCAAATAAAGGATGAAATGAAGGTACCTCTAGTGTGGTTTTTCCAACAGAATTCAGGTAGCGGAGCAAGGCAGAAAGCAGGGGCAAGAGCAGCAGGGCTCTGTGGGCCAAAAGTTACGTGTTCTTTTTCATATAGGCAGCCTATTAATACTTGTATAAATAACAAGCAAACAAACAGTAGTTCACTGCCTTCTTCTAAGGCCTTGCCAAAAGCAGTGAATAGTTGTGTTGCTTGAGGTGCAGCAAAACTAGTGAGACACAGAGCTGGTCATGCTTTGCCTAATACGACGGTCAGAGCCATACTCCTTACTGTTCCAGCTCAGGTAAATCTCATGTTTCTGCATGCGCTGGCATGTAAAAAGGAGCGTGCTTCTAGATGTAAAGGCATACCAACACCCGTGTGTGTCAGTGTAAGTACAGTAACTGTTTCTTCCTCCCCAGATCCGGAAGATGAAACTACCAGGCCGGGAGAACAAAACCGCTGTTGTGGTGGGGACAGTGACAGATGACGTCCGCATCCAGGATATCCCCAAGCTGAAGGTAGCCTGGCCAGTGGCTATGCTGCCACTCGCGTGGGAAAGGGCACGGGACTTGGTGTACGGGGGTTAACATTGGACAGTTTGGGCCTTGTGGACTGATTGGATAAATGTAGTAGTATGTCGTTGGCAGTTCACTTCATGACTTGGCCTGTCACCTGATTTCTAGAAAAATCCTGAAGTGTAAAAGTTAAGTCAATGCATGTCGTCTGCATAAATGGAGCAGTGTAAAATGTAAGAAATAAGATAGCTATTCTAAAAGGTCCGTCCCTGGTTATAACTGGGTGAAAATATTGATGAAGCTGTAAGCCTGGGTCTGCAGTCTGATTTGGAGGCTCTCATGTTACAACTGGTTTCCTTTTTCCTCCAAGGTTTGTGCCCTCAGAGTGACCCAGGGTGCCCGTAGCCGCATCCTGAAAGCTGGAGGCCAGATCATGACTTTTGACCAGTTAGCCATGTCTGCCCCCAAGGGCCAAGGAACCGTGTTGCTTTCTGGTGAGTGAGGAGGGCATATTTCACTTTGACGCCTTGAGAAGCTGTTCTCTGGAGCCTGCTTCACCTCACAAGGTGTGATTAAAGCATCTCTTCTGACCTGCCCTGTTTAGGACCCAGGAAAGCCCGTCAGGTTTATCGGCATTTTGGCAAGGCCCCTGGCACCCCGCACAGCCACACTAAGTGAGTACCCTCTTGGGATTACTCTTTCTGCACTTACTTGGATTTGCCTAAAGCAGTGCAATGTTTCAGCATCTTGCAACATTTTAGAAAATATGCCTCGTCTTGAGCTATATTTGCACTCTTGCTTCCTTTTACATCGTAGCTTCAGCATTATCCACTTTGCCTTCCATGAAGCCTCTCCATCTCTCTTTTCTTTCCCCCTTTCCAACTTAGGAGTGCTTCCAAACAAGTCTCCTAGTGCTCTCAGTTGAAAGTAGTATATTTCAAATTACAAACAAATACAGTTGTAATTTGTAAGTGTTTCTGCTATTCTCTCTTTTTTTTCTTAATGGGTTATTTCTGCTAAGGAAAAAAGAGAGAAGCAACAGCTGGTGAACATGGGAGGGCTACAAATGGATGCCCCTCATTCTATGAATGAGGCCATGCAATTGCACAAGAAAAGCCTCATGTGGAAGCATCCTTTTTTGTTGTACTGTGTGAAGAAATTGAATTCAGCAGTGAAATCATTGTAGTCATGAACTATACCTATGTCTTTTTCCCTGTCCTCTAATCAAAGACAGAAGCAGCAGCATAGACCAAATTTGAGTTGGATCAATTCCATTAAGGAAGCCACAGCCTTGAGTTTATAAGAGCCAAGCAGGGCTGTCAGGACAGGCTATTTGGGAGGGCAGTCAGAGAAGTCACCATAGGTCAGAGATGATTTGACGGCTTGTAACAACAACAAACTTCAGCTGGATTTGAGTTCAGTCCATGATGCTTTAGTAGTTTTCAGAATCTATTGGATGCTTGCTGGGAAATTGGAAAGAGGAAGGAGTAAAATCCTGTTAAATTCTTGTCACTCCAGGAGTCAATATTGTATTAGAATTAGAGTTTAAATACAGTGGTACCTTGGTTCACAAGCTTAATTCGTTCCATGATTCTGGTCACAAACCAAATTGGTGGTGAACCGAGTCAAATTTTCCCATAAGATTCAGTGCAAATAAGATTACGCTGTTCTGAACCATATGTAATTTTTTTAACCACAGAAATATGAAACACAGTACAGTATGAAGAGAGAGAACACTAACCTTCCTTGAGGCGACTTCTGGTGTGGGGGACGGGAAGGTGGGTGGGGAGGAGGTTTTTGTTTGGAGGGAGAGTCTGTGACCGTGATCTTGACTAGAGGAAGCTGTGACCATGTGTCAGCGTGGGGAAGATGGCTGCGTTCGTGTTCATGTGAGCGTGAATGTGGCCATCTTCCCCGCATGAACACGATTGCGGCCATCTTCCCTGCTTGAACATGCTCTGACATGTGGTCGCGGTCCGGGGAAGATGGCCTTGATCGTGTTCGTCACCCGATGTGGGTTCATCACCTGCGAACAGAAGCAAAATTTTGCCAAACAGAAGCGTTTGTGAACCGAGGTATTACTATATTAGGGTTAGAGGATAGGGTCCCTAGGTATGCAAGGGAACACTGTTCAGTTGTGGGACAGGATGTGAGAAGGAGAGAGACTAGGAATTCAAGAATCCCTGAACTCTTCCAAATTCTGTGGCCGCTGTGTAGAGTTCTTCTCCCCATAAGTTTCTTTGCTAAATAGTAGGCCCCTGTTTGTGCCACTAACCTTTCTTCCATTTTCTGCTTTCCAGGCCATACGTCCGATCCAAGGGTCGCAAGTTTGAACGGGCCCGAGGTCGCCGTGCCAGTCGAGGCTATAAAAACTAGATTGATTCTTAGTGAAAATCAAGATGTACCATTTACCACACATTAAAGCTGCCATGCTGGATGTCAGCTAACACCCAGATACTGTATTGTTTGCTAAACAGGAGGCACGAGTACACACACTCAGTCTGATTTGTGTCTTTGCACAGTCTTTACTGAACATACCTTGGCAAGATTCCTCAGTGAATAAAGGGGTGGGATGGAATAGTGAAATTATTGCTGCGACTAGTCTGGTGATAGAAATATTTTGGAAATGGAGTACATTTCACAGCTCAGAGAGAGTGCCTGCGAAGAGGGCCATCTTAATGGGAAGCAGTTGCGGGGGCTTCGTAGGTGTCCTTGGGCGCTTATGCCAGTAACAAAGTGGACAAACATGGAATAGTGTCTTAAACCTGAAGGAACCATGAGTGAAAACAAAGGGAAGGCTGTTGCTCTCAGTTGGAAAAGAGGAACTAGCAAAGCTGATAAAGCTGACAGATGCTTGCCAATTTTCCTTTTTTTGCCTATAGGAATCTTCCCATCATTTGAAAAGGTTAAATCACAGCCATTCCATTTGTAGTTTGAGAGCTCCATGGAGCACACAGCTAGGAATAGATAAGGTGGGCATGTCGTGAGCAGAGCCAGCTGGAGCTAGACGGAGCCCGGGAGGCCCCTTCTGACTCGCTCCGTTTCTATGTTTCTCTGCTACCCTGGTTGCTGGCTGCCAGGAATTGCACACAAGCAAGTGCATTAGATGTTGTGTAGGTGAGTGCAGTGAAGAGGCAGGTGGAGGAAAGATGGCGCTCTCTTTCCTTCATGGCACCCAGTAGAGGAACAGGTGGCTGTCAGAAGAGGGAACCCCTCTCCATGCACTCTGCAGGCTAGTAATGGGGTGGTGGGGGGGGCTGTGTTATTTAGAAGACTGTTCATGTCCAACAGATGCTGTATGGTTGCCTGGTTGGAGTGGCTTGCTTAAGAAAGGAGGGACTGGTGAGAAGAACCAGGCCTTCTAAGATCCCCGGGAGACAAGTGAGAACACAGGCTTGCTAGTACTTCTAGATTTGCCCTCATTTAGGCAAGCAATTTAGGGAAACCCTTTAAGATCAAAGTAGTACTAAATCCTGGAATTGAATGGCAGTGTCTGCCAGAAAACCCACATCCTCAGGAATGGCTGTCAGCTTGTTATGTGTGGTAGACAAGAAGCAGATGCAGAAACATTCTGAATATGTATTGATTTCAAATTGGGAACTCCAAAGCACCAAATAGGTCTTGGGGGTAGAGTCGCACGGGGGCAGCAGTAGCTGCATTTGGCAGCACTCATGTAAGAGGTAAACGAAGCGAAGCCCACTGGGGATGCAGGAGGCCAAGCGCTACACTAGCCCCATGGGTTCATGCAGCAGACAAGCCAGGTAGCAGGCAATGGTCCATGCCCTGGCCACTTGGCCTTCCATGTTCTGTGGATGGATGATGCGCAGGAAGCGGAAGCTGAAAGCCTTGTCCGTCAGGCTGCGGAAGCTCAGCACCTGCCTCTTGGATGCCTCCTGCCTCGCCATCAGCTGCACGGGTCCGGCCTGCAGGAACGGGGGCAGGGTGGGCAGCTCCTCGCCAGTTCCCGCACCAAAGGTTAAGAAGCCGCTGGGAGCCGCCAGCGCGTAGCCGGGAATGGAATAGCGGGCTCTGGTGCCCCAGGGAGTTTCTCCTTTGCCCCGTGTCCGTCCCTGGGCTTCGAGGAAAAGCTCTGCACAGTCCAAAGCTAATAGTGGCACATCATGAAGTATGAGGGACCGCTGTGGCTTGAAGCTGTCTACGTAGCGCCGGCTGCAGGCGACTGGAATCTGCAGTGGGGGGGAAGCATTACTTTGCTTACTTGCTTTCCATAGGTATTAGGTTACAGTTTCAGAGATGTGATCTAGGTTTAGGTGGTTGCTGACTTCAACCTGCCAGCAGAATGGCAGCCTGCCACCACAGCTGGGGCTTATGGGAGCTGTAGTGGAATACATCTGAAGGGTACCAGGTTGGGGAAGACTGCTGTAAGGGGGGAAGTGGTACAGCCCCTTCACTTTGCTTCTGTTTTGGTTGAATTCAACCTGGTACAGAATGGTTTGGAAAACCTTATGTGGACACAGTGGTCCATTTTCAGACAGGGCTGTGTTAAAGGCCTACTGGAAATCAGTAGCTGAGTTTGTTGTAGTTAATTTATCATAAATGTTTTGGACTTCAGCTCACAAAAACTCTTGCCATTGTGTCCAGGAATGCCGGGCATCTTGGACATCTGCTTTCTGCCCACCTCTTTAGCATAAAGAACATTCTTTGCATTTGTGTTATTGTGTAGAATAGCATTTTCCTCACAAATGCAAGAAAATCCATGTTGGGAGGGACTGCAGCTCAAACTTCAGTCCTGCAAGAAATTTGTGCAGTGGATCTGTATATCTGCTTCCACCAAGGATAATCAAATCCCCTTTCTGACCACAAGAAGTTGAGTGAGTTCTGGGCAGTGCTGGGGTTGTGCAGGAAGCAGTCCCAAACCATTCACTGCTCTTGTCAGCTGTCTTTGCCAATGAGTTGCATTAAAGAAATTGAATGAATGGAGTCTGATCTCTCCCCCTTGTGTTTTAAACGGTTCCATTATTGATCCTTCCTCCCACTCATTTTCTGACCCCAGCTTTTTTGGACAGGGGATGTGCAAGCAGTCTACTTTGGCATCCTTCAAGAACCACAGAAGAAAAGGTGGTATGGTACCAAATGCAAGAAAAAAGATACTTCTTTTTTCTTGTGTTTGCTGACCTCCCATCTTCAGGGTAAAACTTAGTGGCCCATTAAAGCCTTACAGCTTCCTCAGGGGTGGCTGTTTAAGCAGTCATTCAAAGCATAACCAAAACTTGCCTTCCACACTCTCATTACTTTTGAAGTGGTGTTGAAGGTAATCTTGTTTACTGTTGCTTCTTCCATGCTCATTTAACGTCTAGCATAAAATGAAGCTAGACTCTTGTCTTGACGGAGAGAAAATGGGGACCCCAGTTACTCACCTGCCTCATCCTTTGTTCCATGATCTCCATCCAGCTGAGCCAGTAGCGGGATGCCGTGGATTCGGAGATGTGGAACCGGAAGGCCACATCTTGTAGAAGCAGCCCCAGGCGCAAGCGGACAAGCACCAAGAACAGCTGGTTCTCGGGGCTGAGAGCGCTGTGAGGGCTGTTCTCGGGGCTCCCCTTGCCATCGAGAAGGAAGTCCAGAAAGGCCGCAAGGCGGGAGTATTCATCGAAGCCCGTGTAGAACCGCAGCCACTTGCTGTGTCCCTTGATGCTCTCGAGAGAGAAGGCCCTGTGCTGGGCTTGAGCGTCTTGCTGTCCCTGCAGCTGCCTGCTCAGAGAGAGGACAGCAGCACCGCTGGCGTCCCGCTCCCTGCATAAGCGTTGCCTGGTGTGCTCCAGCTGGTCCCGCTCACAGCGCAGGTTCCGATTCTCCGCCTCAAGCTGTGAAATGCGTTCTCCGAGGTCCGAGAGGAGAGTCCAGCTCTCACCCGTGCTCTCCTGTGGCAGTGAGGGAGAAAGCTGCAGTTGTGTGGTCATTCCGATCACAATTCCCCCCGATCACAGCCAGTGCCAGCTCCAGGCTTCTGAGGGCCACTGAGCCCTCACAGCTTGCCTTCCTGTGGCCGGTGGCATCAGCCGCTGTCACTCCTCATCCTCTTCTGCAGTGCTGCTGCTTGCTTGCTTGCTTGCACCACAGGCAGAAAGCCAGGGCCAGGGAGGTGGTGGCATCCACCACAGGCCCCCGTCTCCCCACGGCCATTACCTGGCCAAAGCAAGAAGCAGGTGAACCAGCAGGTCGCAATGGTGAAGAGGAGGACTTTCTCAGTGAGCCCCCTGCTGTCATGTGCCCAGCCCTGCCGACCCTGATGCCACTCCGGATGTTCAACCCTTACCCGCAGTTCCTGACATTCTTTCTGGCTGGCTTCCACCACTCCCCGCAGGCTGAAAAGGAGCTCGCTTTGGTGGTGCACTGTGCCCCTTAACTCCCTGACAAGCCTCTTCAGTGCTTCTGCCTCCTCGGGGATGCAATAATCACTGTGGTCGTGCAGTGCCAGCTCGGAGCCGTGCAGGTGACGGGGTGATTGCCTGGTCTCCTCCATCTGCTCAGCTGCACGGACCAGGTTGCCAAGACTGGAGGCCATTTCTGCTGTGGAGAGATGGAGTTTGGGGTATTTCACCCTGCCTCTCAGTGGCCTGCCTCTCAAATGCCAGTTCTACAGTGCTTAACATGGCTCCTTTCAGTGCATTCTGGGAAATGTAGCGCAATGAAATAGCCATGGAAGCTGCAGTTCCCAGGGTTCTTCGTCAGTAGCTGCAACAGGCTTACACCCGTGCGAAACCATGTTAAAAGACCCACTTCCCCCAGCCTGGTGTTGCCAGGCTTTTATAAACCATTCAGTCAGCAGATAGCTCTCATATTAGTTTTATGTTGTTGTCACACATTTTATTGTGTGATGGGGGTTTTTTGTGGAGGGGTGGTGGTGAACCTGTGTAAATTTAACCCTGTTTAAACTGCTCTGGGAACCTGCTGGTTAAAGACCAGGATAAGATTAATTGGTTGGATAGCCTCTTCTGGAGCTAGTAATTCTGAAATAGGAGTGACTGACATAATTTTGTCCTATTTGTCAGGCAACCCACCCCCACCAACCTCCATTCCCTGCTTCACCAGTCGCAACCTCCCATAGCAGGTTGGTGACAACTACTGCACCTAACCCAAATGAAAACGGAGATGGGGGCACTGCTCTGCAGCTGCTTTGAATGGAGACCCCTGTTAGCCCCAGCTAATTTGGCTAATTATCAGGAATACTGAGAGCTCTAGTCCAAAACATCTGGAGGACACTAAGCTTGGGAAGGCTGCTTTGGAGCATACCATCTTAAAAAAACTCACCAAGAAGCTCAAGAGGCTTGAGTAAAACAGTCGAGATCAGGGCTTGAGCAACAAGCATCCAATCCAGTTAAAAGGCAGAGCTTCCCTCTTTGGTGTCCTTGCTTGGACAGAAGGGGGGCAACTGGCTGAAGGCCTTCAGTCCTCCAGTTCAGTCTTTCCCAAACTAGTGCACTCCAGATGCTTTAGACTGCAACTCCCAAGACAGCTGTTTGCTAGGACTGATGGTATCTTTGTTCAAAGATAGGCTGGACGTGCACATGGTGGGCATGTCGTGAGCGGAGCCGGCTGGTGCCGGAGGTCAGACTGGATGGCCCGGGAGGCCCCTTCTGACTCGCTCTGTTTCTATGTCTCTATGACTGACGGTAGTTGCGGTCCAAAAGATCTGGTGGGTGACAGGGTGGGGGAGGCTGCTTTAGCTGGTGTCATCCCTTCCCCTTCTGGTGCATCTGTTCACACCTGGTGATAGGTTATGCCACAATTACTATGTGCTGCCTTGGGGGAAGACGGATGGATGCAAAAAATGAAGGACGAGTTTCCCAGAGTTTCACCCTCTCTGGTGGATCAGTACTGGTGACATGCTAGGGAACCCAGTCCTTATGGATGCAGGATACCATGGTGCTCCTGTGCTGGTTGCTGGCAGCGCCGCTTTCCCTTCCTCTTTCTAGCCCGACAGGATCTTGTGGCCACTTCCATCTCTGGTCCGTAGTGGGCAGCAAAGACACACGCTGACTTCTGGGATTCCTGTTTTGCGAGGAGTCAGGGTTAGGAGACACCACTATCAGGTTAAAACATAAAATACACATCACAATAATTCCTGTTCTGGTTCGGGGGCTCAGTCCAAATATGAGGATTCACAGTGAGCTCAGCTTAAACGGAGATGTCTCCAAAAAATTAAAAACTTTTTAAAGTGTGTAGATAGGTGGCTAGATAGATTTCAGGTAATTGATTGTAATTATTCCTATCATCATGTTCCATTTTTTTCCTACAAGGAACCCAAGATGGCGTCTTCTTCCCCATTTTATTCTCACAACAACCTTGTGAGGTAGGTCAGGCTGAGAGTCAAGACTGGCCCAAAGTCATCCAGTGAGCTTCATGTCCAGGTAGAACTCAGATCTCTTGAGTCCTTGTCTAATGCTGCAAGCACTACATCTTATTAGTTATGCTAGCTGGGGGATTATGGGGATTGCAGTCCCACGCATCTGGAGAGAATAGGTTGGGGAAGCACGGTACATGGGTTCCTTGCAAGGCAAGCAAAACATGCGGCAAAAATACTTCGAGCTTGTTGCAAGGGCAGTAGCCAAAAAGGAAGGTGAAGATGCCCTACGCGAGGCCTGCCCCAATCCGAAAGCACCGCAGTGGGGACTGGGGCAGTCCCAGTACCTGGCGGGAATCACGGTCGTTCTCCATCGCTCTCCATGCAGCCTCGTTTCCCATCCAAAATGGCGGCCGCAGTGAATCTGCCCTATCTGCTCCTCCAATACGGCTACAGGAGGACGAACGGCAACCGTGGCTCCCTCAACCAAGATGGCGGCGCCAGGCTCAGACGCAATGAAGTACAAGGGCGCTCAGCCAGCACTTGGGTCCTGGCTGCTGAGTAGAACGGGCATTGTTCAATAACAATTTAGTATGGGGAAGGGAAAACACAAAGGCTAAAGTAGGCATTTCCACAATCCCCCGAAGAATGCAGTTTTGATTCTTCACCCACTGTGCTTTGCGGGTGCTTTTCAGGGCATCGTCATCCTCCAGGGGTTCTTCAGTGTTTTACAATCTGTTCTACAGGGATTTTTTTGGCGGGGGGGAGGGGAAGGTTAGATCCAAGGGGCTTTTCTACATAATGCCTTTAACCACTTTGCACAGGTTTCTGCTTCCAAATTCTTTGCGATATTACGATCAGCTACTTTACACCTGTTACTTTGGGAGGAGGTAAGGGGGTGCTCTACCTTTATGTTCCATTGTACAAGCACAAGGTGTTGTGTAGAAGAGCAAAAACACTTGTGCCTCTCATTCCAGTTTATTCTGACATTTTCAGATAATGCTATGCTTTAGGCTTTTCTGCGTACACTAGTGATTTCTTGTGGACATTATTGTGATTTTCCAGCTTCATTTCTGTAGTTTTCAGAGCATTTGCCTGGTTTTATTTTATTTAGAACAGGGAAAACGGTGCTCCTGCCTATCTGTACTATAGCAGAGCTCCACCTAGAGGCTGAATAGAGGAAAAGCAAGAAAGGAAAAGCATTTTGTGTAGAGCCGGGCTCTCAATGCTGCAACAAAACCAAAGTGAGATACAGTGATCAAGGCCCTCATGTAGAAAAGCTCTTTTCTTAATCTAAGCAGAAACCGAAGAAGAAGCGTCAAAAATATTTGAAAAGTGAGGGAGAAATCTGGAGACGATGGTGACATTATGTTAAACACCCATAAGCTACTATGTGTGAAGAATTACAGGTGTGCTGTAAACCCCACCTATAGAGAAGCTAAGGAAAGTGGCATATTTGGAAATGGTGGAAATGAAATGCTCCTGTGCCACAGCACCACCTAGTGGTTGTTTCATAGAACATACTGAAAGGCAAAGAAGCTAAAATCCTTGGGGGAAAAATCATACAAAGTTGCTGATCTGATCCCGCAAAGAATCCAGTGGTGGGTTAAAAGCCTCATCCATGGACAGTTTATGCCAAATGGCTTTTAGGTTGGACCCCTGCGAATTGCCAAAAAAGAGGAAATGCATGACCAAAAAGAGAACAAGGGAGGGTGCTATTTGCATAATCTTTGCATATGCTTATATGTATGTGTGCATGTCTAGGCAGGGCTCCTCAGACAGGCACCCCGCCTACCTCCACCACCCTTCCCTCAACCACCAGTTGTTTGTGGCTTCCAAGTTAAGCTAAAACATGCTAATATTTTCGGTCTGTCCCTTTTGCCTCAGCCCACACACCACTCAAGTGCAGCCTCTGAAAACTTCTCTGAAACGAAGTTTGGCCCTCAGACTGAAGGAGGTTCTGCACTACCTAAATGGAGGATAACATTAAAAAAGATGGCGGTTCAGCGGTGAAAGCTCTTTGAACAGAGGACTGCCCTTTGTAAAAGAGGCCCCATAGCCATCCTAGGAGGGCTTCCCACACATCACCAAAGGAGAGAACAGAGGAGGACCCACATTTTCATATAAAAGTGCATATGCTAATCTCCTTGTGTGTAGCTGCACATTTAGATGCGGTGACTGTAATTTACACAGAAACGCAACACTCCTCACCATAAGCTGGGAGCCTGACCAGGCGGGCAGAGGCTGCTGTCCAGGAGCAAACCGCAGGGCAGAGAAACCAAGCCCGTGCTGCTATCTAGCCTTCTTATGGTTCTTTAAATGGGTCACGGCCTGGGCAGAGCCGGGCAGAGCCCTGGAGAGCATCAAGGGCAGGCAGAGCTGGGCGCCTGCCAAGGCCCACGGCAGCTGCCCAGCACTGACAGGTGCCCCATCGGCGGCTGCCCCTCTTCCCCACTGCGCCCTGGTGGTTCTTCTGCCTTGTGCTGGCCTGGGCAACCATGCAGGTGAGATGGAGGAGCAGTGGATGCCCCGGCTGCTTGCGCCCCAGCTCCCTGCCTGTCTTGCGAGGAAGCAAGCGGAGCAACGAGAAAGAAGAAGAGAAGCCATTGCAAGGGGTGACCACAGGGGCGGGCGGGCAGGCAGGCCCCCTGAGGGTGACGCCCCGCTGAGGGAGTCTTGTCCTCCAAAGCCTGGAGCCAGTGCTGTTAATAGCCTTTCAGATAGAGAGCGCACTCTGTAAAGTAGGGCATGCAAGCCCCCGGGAGACCCACCTGCTGGCTGGTCTCATCCACCTCCACGCTGGAGCTCCTCAGGCCTCCAAACGTACAGGCACTTCCACAGAGAGAGCCAGGAAAGAGCTGCTTGCTGGCAAAGTACGTTGAATACAGGGAATTACTAGGAAGGATTTCTATCTTTCCACCTTGGGCCTCTGTTCTATGCATTATCTTTTTCTAAGGGAATCTTTTCACATCCTCTCTGCTCTCCATGAGAGGTAAGTTTGGTTTGCTACATTTCTACATGGTGTTAAAGGTACTAGAGCAAGGCTAGGAAAAGGTGGGCTATCCCATATATGTAGAAAAGGAATAGGCAAACCCTCCAGATGTTTTGGACTACAGCTCCCATAGTACCTATCCATTGACCATCCTGGCTGGAGCTGATGGAAGCTGTAATCCAAAACCCCTGGAGGACACTGGTTTGTGACCACTGGTATAGGACACTCAACCTGCCCACCCCGCTATGAGCATTTAGTGAATGTCACATGCGTTCTTTGCAGAAAAATGTGAAAAGCTACATCCATTTGCCAGAGATTTACCAGAAATCTTCCTTCCAGAAAGAATACTTTGCTCCAGAGAAAACACCTGGAAAGGGAAAACATACACGGGATTTTACTATTGGGTAGGAGAACCAGAGCCGTTGCAAGGCTGTGCCATGTAGCCTTCGAGGGAGAACATGGTGGTAAGGAGGAAAGAAGTGTGGTCTGAAGAGACAAAGGCACCCACCATGTTGAAGCTAAGCAGGTCTGGGGCTGGCCTGAGCTTGGAGGGGAGACCACTGGCAATGACATGGAGCTACCTTGAGTTCCATAATGGAAGAAAGACGGGATATAAATATAATAAACAAACCTCAAGGGCATTGGCATTGAAAAAACCAAGCGGCTGCATTTCTATGCAAAGCTCCAATGTATCTATTGTGAGAACAGTGATGATTCACACCACCAGTTGCACTGATGTCAACACCTGGAGAGAGAAAATAAAACCTTGGTCTCAGTTGAGTCCGAAGTGAATAGAATTAAACTCCGCTTCTGCATTCTTATTCAGCAGTTTCATCCTGGTAGCTCCTTTTAAACATTCTTTGTTGAAGAATGGCAACTTTCAACTCTGCAGCAGGGTGTCCTTGGAGGCTCTCCCACTGCTTTCGGAATGTTGCCATTTCAGAGGCTGGATATGTGTCCATTTCTTATTCTTTTGCCGAAAGACTGGCCTGTTTGTCCTGTGCAGAGGCGGGTAAAGGTGAGACCTCTTGTTCTATGAGAGGACCAGGAATTCGGCGGCACTCTCTGGCACATGCGCACGACATACCCTGATGTTCTGGCTTCTTTGTCTGCCGCTGGCTTTCTCTCTCTGGGGACGGGGTCTGAGCATGAAATCCTAGATGCATCTTTCAAAAACGGAGGAGCTGCAGAAGAATGATGCCAAAAGCGTGTGTGCATTATGATCTGAATTAAAGGTGAGCATTTTAGAGTAAACCCTTTTTTAAAAGCCCTGTTCTTACGATACTAATTTTAGGAATATTCCAAGTATAGCCATTCAAATGTGCTAGAATGAATATTATGGATAATGGGGTAATCCAGAGTGATGCAGGACAGAAAGCAGAGCTCTGTCAGCACTGCAGCCAGCAGTGCAAAAAGTCACATTTCAGATCAGAATCTGACACTGACTCCTCCAAGTTAGTGTTTTTGCCAGCCTCACACCAACCCACACCACTGAGCACCCTTGCCCCTCATTCTCAGACCGCTAGGCCTCCCGTGATTCTTTTTGTTATTCCTGTTTTGCCTGCATTTATGTAAATCCAGCCTTCTCCAACCTGGTGGCTTTCAGCTGTTGCAGACTACAACTTCCACCATCCCAACCCTCGGTGACTTTGATGACGGACGGGATTTGTCATCTGAAATGCCTGGAAGCTACCATATAGTGGAAGAGCAGGCTGAAAGCCATGCCACACTGCAAAATAAGAACGGCTTTATCTCGATCTATATCTGCGCCTTTACTCTGCATTTGCTTTTCGTTCCCCCGCTGCCTCCGTGCAGACGTTGCCTTCCAGAAGGATGGCTTGCTCAGGTCACTCTCCGTCTTTGTCTGACTTTGTTGCTGGTGTTAATGTTATTTGCACTGCACGGCATTCTTCTCCAAGAGGTGCCTCTCCCAGTGGCTGGTTTGGGGGATCACAGGGAAGAGAAGACCGAAGGCTGCATGGAGGAAAATGGCACTGGCTCTGCACCAGTGCGTTGTGCAGTTTCCCTATTCGTATGTGGGTTGCCATGTCATCTGAGCCAGAGGGGGTGCACCGTGGCGGGTAGCTTCCAAGCCACCTGGGACCCAACGACAAGACATGGGCCCCGGGGTGGTTTTGAAGCCACTTCTGCCACGCACCTCACCAGGTTTGGATGACACGGCAGGGCACACGATCCACGTGTGAGCAGGGGAATCACACAACATGCATCCCTCGGCTCCTTTTCCCCACAATCATCTAAAGTCAGCTGTCGCCTTCGGCCACATTAGACATGTTGTGACAACATTGCACTTTAGATTTTGCTTTTCGTTTTTACAAAACATAGCCGGCTCAGAGGACCTGATTTTCAGGCGGACTCCAGTAGAGCTGGAA